GTGTCAAAACTACACTACTAGTGCCGTCGCACCGTCAACCAACTGATGGAGCTTACAAACTGCCTGCCGCAGCCTTGGCGCCCTACTCCCACTGCTTCTTGAAGTCGCAACACCCTCCCAAATTGCGGAGCAGAAGTACCCGCTGCAGGGAACTCCATGCAGCTTATCCGCAACAACGTCGATCGGGGAACTACGGTCCAAACATCTGGGAGTCCCATGATTATTCCCACCCGCCAAATCGGGACAACACTACCCTTGTACGTACTAATTACTAGCTAGCCAGTTTGTCAGTGCATGCGCAGTTCTTTCATTTATACACGTTTACAACAATGGATATGGTTGGAGTGTGCAGTATTGGCAGGAAGAAGAAGCGGAGGAGCTGAAGAAGGATGCCAAACAGAAAGTGCTACGGTTCATCACTGCTACTGGAGGTGACGACGACGACGAGACTGTGGCACGTCGAGTCCTCGAGACGATCGATACTGTACAGAAACTGGGACTTGCTTACTATTTCGAGACCGAGATTCAGGACGCTCTCGACAAGATCGCCACTACTTCTACCTGCAGAGAAGACCTCTACTTTTCGGCCCTACGTTTCAGGCTGCTTCGACAAGCTGGAATCTGGATATCTTCTGGTAATTAAGTATTTTACACACACACAAATGATGAAATTAAAAACTTATTTTATTTAATTTTTAATTGGTTGAAAAAAAATGAACAGATGCGTTCCAAGGATTTCTAGACCAGGGAGGGAAGTTTAGGCAAGAGATCATCGGTGGCGATGCGAGAGCCCTGCTGAGCTTGTACGAGGCTTCGTATCTTAGCGTGCCTGGTGAAACTCTGCTCGACGAAGCCAAGAGCTTTGCTAGGAGGCATCTGCAGTCCATCATTGCAGCTGCTGATGATAAGGTCATCGGTCCCATGCTGGCCAACCAAGTGAAGCGCACATTGGAGCTTCCATCCCACTGGAGGCTTCAGCGCTCTCAAGTTAGGTGGCACATCGAGCAATATTGCAATCAGTACAGCGAAGAAATAATGGATCCAGCCTTGCTCCGATTCGCGATGCTCGACTATAACACGGTCCAGTTTCTCTACCAGAGCGAGTTGGACGAGCTCAACAGGTACAACTCGTCCATACTAATATCACTGACGGAGAGTCAGAAATCTAAACGAGAGAACTAAAAATTATACCCTTGAGAGATGTGATCAAAGAGAACTAATTAAATTTGGAAAGGGCAGGTGGTGGAAATATGAGTTGGCCATACCGGAGAAGCTGCCGTTTGCACGTGATCGTTTGACGGAGAGCTTCCTATGGGCAGTTGGGTTGGCCCAAGAGCCTCATTTCAGCTACTGTAGAAAGACGATGTCGAAGCTTGTATGCATCGTTAATGTCGTCGATGATGTCTATGATATTTACGCTTCTCTGGATGAACTCCACCTCTTCACTGCCGCCATACAAAGGTAATTGCCTTCTTGAATTTCTTAAATTACTTAATATATACTTTTTAAAGAAGAAAAAAAAAAACACTTGCATTAACAAACAAAAAAAACACAACCAGTTACATCAATACTAAAAGTTACTTACTGGACGTTGTAATCTTTACATAGGTGGGACCCATCTAAAATCGATACGCTTCCCGTATACATGCAAACATGCTTCATGGCGGTCTACAATACAACTAATGAACTAGCCGACCACAACATAATGCAGCAAGGTTTCAACAGCTTGCCTTTCCTTAAACAAGCGGTACGAGTTTATTAATTGTTTTTCATTGATTCTACTAATTATATATGTTTTTACATATTTTTTTACTATTTTTTCCTACTATCTTAGCAAAGGAAGCCAGAGAAACAGTTTGTTTTATAAGCTTTCTGAGAAACTATTATCGATCAGTGATACAATGATAGATAATTTGTTGAGTTCATTTGTACGTATACCTTTTATTTGGAATCTACGTGATACATATAATATAAACTCATATTCTAGCAATAAAATTTGAAATTTTGATCGCAACATTTTTTTTTTAATATGATGGCGTAGTCTAGAATTAAGCCTCTTATAAATCGTACTTAAAATGCAAGCAAATTGTAAATAAATTATGAGTGAATTCACACATTTTTCTATTCAATGCTATGCAGTTGATGGTTTAATTAGAGCTTTTTAAGATGAATCAGATGGTATGTGGTCCGGTGCGTAGCACACTCAAAATCGAGATTGTACCATAGATTAGCCTATTATTTTGTGAACTATTAAAATGTTATATATTTTTTATTTATTTTACGATGAGGTGTTAATATGAGACCATAACTATGCTAAGTTTTGTATTGACTAAAAGTGGCAAGAACAATGCAAGCTGTACCTGGAAGAAGCCGAGGCTTTCCATACTATTGGATTTGAGGAAAGCTTTGAGCAATACTTGGAACGTGGGTGGAAGTCGGTAGCAACAAGTATTGTGTTGGTTTACACTTATGCCGCTTCTGGGGCCACTCTTGCGACACAGAGTTTTGAATACTTACTTAATTATCCAAAATTCACTCGCTGGGTATCCACTGCTAACCGTCTTATAAATGATCTGGCAACCTCCAAGGTATACATTTTATGTGATTATTTTTTATAAGGGCAATTGATGCTACTTAGAGCTTTATGTACCAATCAGTTGATGGCGTGAATCGAACACACGACCTTTACGAACTAATGTGATTTATTATTATTGATGATGTTTAATCCATTGATAATTTCATCGTGTATAGGCGGAACTTGGAAGAGGGGATATTCTCAAATCAGTAGAATCTTACATGAAAGAGAAGGGTGTTTCGGAAAAAGAAGCCCGCCTGAACATAGAATGGCAAATTGGTGAAACATGGATGAGAATCAACGAAGAGGCTATGGCCAATTATGGTGACATGAAAATATATGTCAATCTTGGCCTCAACCTTGCTCGGGGGTTCCGATTCATGTATCAGTATGGCGATGGGAACGGAATGCCTACTCCAATGGACAAAGATCGAGCCATGGCATTGATTTGGCTCCCTTTCACAATCAAAGCGACGGAGGAAACTACCGCGGTTTAATCACTCATTTTTATCAAAATAAAATAAAGTTGGTGCAATTTCTACAATAAATCACGTTTTGGTCTTTGTTGGGTCTAGTACGGTCGAATAGTCCGCATTTGATTTTTCTGTCTGAAAACAGATCGCGTTGGAGAGTAGTTTCTCGTAGTTGTAGGATTCTTGGTTTGTTTTAATTTGGATTTTTGTCTTTTTGGTGATCCCATCAATTCTGTTGGCGGTTTAATTGTCGGTTGGTCTCCCGAAATCAATGTGTCGATGCTTTGTAATTCATCATTTTTATTTCCGTTGCTATCAATAATAATGATTATCAGTATGTGGTGGTTTGTCTTTATATTAGCATTATTGCGGCCATTCAGCGCTCACAATTGGAAATTTTACGAATTTACTGCTCCGACATTTCGGTGCCATTAGTGGTCATTGGCAATTTTAACTCTGTTTTAACATCAAACGAGAAACTAGGGGGTAATGCTTGGATCCCATCACAAGATGAGGATTTGTGGAATTTCATTGACATCTTGGGTTTTCAAGACCTTGGCTTTCATGGAAGCCCGTTTACGTGGACTAATAAACGAATGAGGGATGCATGTGTTCAAGAATGCTTATAGAGCGTTAGACTCTTCGTTGTGGATGGACACTTTCCAAGAATAAACACTATATTGATCAAGAATCAGACCATCAGACACTCATAGTATGTAGTAGTATTGCTAAGTAACAAAACCCATGGAAATGTTTAGGATCGTATTCAACAGGGTCTTCTAATAGCAACTACTCTAATCACTTATGCTCAAACAAAGACTAAACAAAGATAATCGATGGGTTAATGTTCTCTATGTTTAGTTGATTCTCAGATAGGCATAGATAAACAAAGCAATAAAGTAAATGATAGATAATATAGATAGACAAGATAAGTAAAGGATACACAATTGTTCAAGAAAGTATCATCTACATGATCAATTATCTCAATCTCACTAATAATAACATGCATTGGTGCATCTTTTAATAGGATACTCTATCCCTTCCAAGCGTTCCTAGTCGAGCTTTCCCCACATGCAAAAGGAACTATAACTAGCTAATGTGTATTTTCGCTTCATGCAATTAACTAATCAATCATATAAGGAACTAAGGATAACACATAGCCATCTAAGGCCTATATAAGCCCATAACAATGGCCTATGAGATTGATGATCTAGTATATCAAGCATCAATCTCATATAGGCATGAAAGGTTGATCATTCAATTCATACATGCATAAGGCAATAATATATAATATAAAGAAAGTTTCTTAGTAACCTATAATGATATTATAAGCAACACCACACTAGCACATAATATATGATTTAGAGCATCGATGAACTATAGCATCCTATTAAATAATAGAAAGAAAAGATACATGAATGTCAATAGAATTAACATACTTAAACAACAAATTGAACTAGCTAAACATAAGAGAGAAAGATTGTACCACCATTGATGATGAAGGCATCTCTTTAACTGTGCGCCTCCTTTTGATGCTAACTCGATCTTTCCTTGACCCGAGTGACTCATTTCTCGAGTATTAAAGAGTAGTACTTGTGATTTCCGTAATCTCCTAAATCCTTTAGCCTGCCCTCTATTTATAATACACAGGAGGATGGGTTTTCAGGATTTCTCCTCATAAAACTCGACCATAAGCTTCCTTGTACTTGTACGACTTGAACTAGGATTCTCTCACTTAGGGATGAAGAAAGAAGATCACATTCAAGGCCAAGATGGATAATGCATCTTTATAATTTTGAAATATTTCAAAATTTTCATAACTATCATATATTGGATCCAATTTAAAAATTAAAAGGCTGAACATATATCATGTATAAGCATAATGGGCTAAATTACACGTTTGGTCACTCAAATTATACAAATCTTTCACGTTTGCCACCCGAATTACTTTTCTTTCTTATTCGCCACTAACTTTACGAATCGTTTCACGGTTGGTCACCGGTCGTTACACTCCGTTAAGTCTGTCCTACGTGGCAGTCAACTATAAAGTTTGACCGTTAACTAGATGACGTGGAAATTAAAAAAATAAAAAAATAAAATAAAAATTTCTTTCCATCTCATCATTGCACTTATTTTGTCTATATAATTTATCATATTAATAATTTAATAAAATTTAATAAATTACAAACATGTTCATTTGCGGCAACTTTTTGTCCTCTTTCTGCTCTTCTTCCATAAAGAAGCCGGTCACCCCTCCTCTGCCTCCTTCCGCTTCTATTTCTTTTTCAACTTCGTCTTCTTCCTCTGCCTCCAAGAAACCCTCCATCCCCGCCCTCCTCCTCCTGCTCTTCTCCTGGTAATTCTCATTCCCAAAACCCACCACCATTAATTCGTCGGTCAATCTTTGGATTGGAACAATCAGTTGGGCTTCACTATTTTTATCGTACGCACGTGATGCTCTGTTTTCTTGTTTCTCTCCCGGTGGCTGAAACAAATCTTCAATTAGAAACCCCATGAAATGGACAGAAGAAATTAATTGAGAATTCGGTTCCAACTCACTTGCAAGCAATTCACACGCCTGACATTTGCCAGCTCAACCAACCCTTTCCTTTCCCTTCCCTTCCATTGCATTTCTTTAAAGTTTACTCCTTTTATTTGTTTTTCTCAATTTGGGTCAGTCGACAGTCGCCATTAATGATCTTTGTCTAGCGATTGAGGCGACCCTTGATTCTTGCCTTTGCGTCAGGAGCTTTTCGATTCCTAGGTTTTAATTTGGGGCAAAAAGTAGGTAGCGCACTTAATTATCAATCTCCTTCTAATAAAGGCGTATCCGTTTTTTATTTTTGTTTCTATTAGGGCGAGCTTTGGGCTAGCGGTGGTGCTATTAGGGGGAGCGACGAGCATGAGCGCAACGCAACCGTTTCCTAGGCTTGGAGGAACTGCTGGAAGAGCTGGCGGCGACGAAGCCGAATCGGGTCCATCCGTTCTCGACGGCGTCGGTGATTAAGGAAGGGTGATCGGCCCAATTGAACAGCGGCCGGGCGGAAGGCCCGCGCTTGAAGGCGTAGTAGTTCCCCCTCCTCTTGATGGCGGCGGCAGGGACACTGTTGTCGACGTCTGAGGAGGAGGAGAGGGAGTGGATGGTGAGGGTGAGGATGATGAGTATTTGGATTTTCCCATTTTTTAATTTATATAATTTTATTAAATTATTAATATGATAAATTATATAGACAAAATAAGTGCAATGATGAGGTGGAAAGAAATTTTTTTTTAATTTCCACGTCATCTAGTTAACGGTCAAACTTTATAGTTGACTGCCACGTAGGACAAACTTAACGGAGTGTAACGGCCGGTGACCAACCGTGAAACGATTCGTAAAGTTAGTGGCGAATAAGAAAGAAAAGTAATTCGGGTGGCAAACGTGAAAGATTTGTATAATTTGAGTGACCAAACGTGTAATTTAGCCAAGCATAATGAAACAAACCATCACAAACTCATTTCCACCCCACACTTTAAACATGACATTCTCCCCAATGGACTAAAAGATAGGTGGACAATAGCAAAGGGTTTGAACGGTTTACCTCATTTGTCGTTCAATCTGAAATAAATAGATGGTAGGCTAAAATCAATTCTCCTTTATTTCTACTGTGATTCATAATAAGCAAAAAGAAGGGGGGAAAAGAGAAAGTGAAATCACAAAAGGGAGGGAGAGCTAATGCTTCTTCTCCTAATTAGTATCCAAAAAGAATCAAAAGAAAGAAAGATGGATAGTACTCCTCAAAAAAGAAAACATAGACTCTTATGGATCACCTCCTCGTATCTAGTTAGAAAAGAAGTCATCAAACTTCTAACCATAGTTGTTAATCCAGTTTTGCTGAGTCTGCAAAAACTCATATCTCCTCCTCTACTTCTTAGCTAAAGCTAGATGTTGTGCATCCATATATGCTCTCCTAACTCAAGTCTTCTCCAGCTTGTCTTTTTGGTCGTGCTCGTATGCATCTAATCTTTGCTCATTGATGGTGTGCTACTCTAGCATCATGTCTTGGTGTTGCTAATGTCGATGGGCAAACCTCATACCTTGATCTATATTGCCCTAAAATTGGTTCTCTTCCCTTAATCAGCCCGAAACTTGGCTTCCCCACACCTATCCATGCATAATGGATAGGAAAATCCTCAACTAGGCATAGTTCTACGGATGTCAGCCTCTCGACTCAAATATGTAAGTCTTTTTTATAAAGATCAAGCCATATGCCACTAAGGTGTCCCATATAGCAAATACAAAATCCTCTTGATGACTATCAATGTACTTGAATATGGTATAAACATAACCCTCGCCACGAAGTACTCAATGTACCCTTGAGAAGATGACCACTTAAGGTAGTCTACCACTATCCAGATGGACTAGATATTAGAAGTTTGAGAACTTGGGAGAAACTTTGAAAAGAAGAAGTGGAAGGGAGGGTCAAATTTGTAGAGAGAGAGAGCAACTGATGAAATGTTGTGGGCAATGTGGGAAGGGATGAAAATTCAGGGTTATATAAGACCTTAGGGAGAAGATGTCAATCCTGCCCAGTCCTGCCATGTGGCTTCTATGGTTGGTTAATTTGGTTTTTGTCGATTTCGTGCATTTTCGCGTAATTTCACTTATTTGATAATATGAAAGTGAATTTCGTATGACCATTCTCCATTGAATCCTTCCTTTCCGAGAAATAACTCATAAGTCTGCTTTTAAATGTATCACGTATTCAAAAGATAAAACTTGTATTTAGCATCCTCCAATGATAACTAAGAATTTGTAAAAAATTAAAATTAAAATTAAAAGAAAATTATGAATAGAAATTTGGATTGTCTCCTTGGTAACACTTTTGTGTAACGTCATTAAGTTTAACGCAAGACACGGGGTTTGACCACCCTATACTATGTCTTGCTCGTGGTGGTGATACATTGCTCGATTGGCATCCTTAATTAGAGATCTTGATCTAATCTTGATCTCCATCTCTGAATCCATCTCTCTATCATTAGCCTTGAAATCATCATAATTGCATTCCTTGTCGATGACCTTAGCTTTCATAGGCTTCAATACCTGATACATTATCTTTCTACGTGTAAAGTGATATATCCTCTTGCTGCATTGATCTTAATGTTGATCACTACGTAGTCTATGAATACGTATCTTTGACCTTCATGTTTATCACTATGTAATTTGGGAAGAAGATGAATGGTCCTACTTGGATACTTAAGCCTCTGACTATCCCAAGTGCTTGAACTGGATTGTTGTATACTAACTTGGTCTCCATGTTGATGTCATCCATATCTGCAAGAGCCATCTCTTCATAATGTTGGAGAGGTAAGATGTTGATGCTTGAACTAAGATCCACAAATCCTTATTCCACTTTATGATCTTCTATTACACATCTAATAATACAATGACCAGGATCTTTCCTTTGTTCCTGAACTATGATCATTTGATCGTAACCATAAGGGGTTGATTTTACATTTCTTCCCCCTACTCAATCTTGTCATCTTCCTCAATGGGAATCTTAAGTTTCTCTTTTGGGTTTTCCATAAAGATAAGTTTCTCTAGCAACAGCATAGCTGCCTCTGCTCCTCCAATGACTTCATCAAATCCCAAATGACTGATGGGTAGTGATCATCATCCTTCCAGGTGGCCATCCTTTCCAGAATTTGCTTATGCTCTCCTTTCTTGCTTTGGTTTATCTAGGAAGCTCCTACTGTCATTGAGATAGCATTGACAACTTCCTTGTTTGGATATTTCTCTGTATTGCTGAGAAGATTTCCATGAAGCTTCTATGGTTGTGAATCAATCAAGATTCGAAGTTAACGATCAATGTTTTAAATATGGCTTGCAAACTATGTACCATTGCTACTAGCTTCTCAAACTGATTAGGTTGGTGGTTTTAAGAACTTTTTCCTCGTTCCTTATATTGCGTTTAGGGCTGGTAATCGGTAACCGGTTAATGGTATAACCGATAACCAAACCGGTTATAGATTTTCGGATGGTAGTCGAGCAGCAGGTTGCCTCTTTCGGTTTACCGGTAACCGATTTTAATAACCGGTGGATAGATGAATACCGATAAACTAACCGGTACTCCCTCTCCCCCCTCTATTTTCAATTCCTCCCCCCCCCCTTCCTCTCACTCTCGCACCATTCCCCGGGAAAATCCCTATTTCTTCTCTCTTCTTCCTGAAATCCGGAACCACCCTCCTTCACTCCCTCCTCTCCGCCTCAATCTTAAAGAAATTAAACTTACCGATTTCTTCTCCCAAACTTACCAGAAATACCTCGTCGGTGGAGTTAACGACCCTTCTCCCCAAAATCAGATCCACGACTGTCAAATCCAAAAAAATCTCCTCTGATTCCTCTCTCCTCGAAGACCTACCGACGATGTTGTCGAGTCCTTCTCCCCGACATCACTCCCTCTCACGAACTGCTTCAGATCTCGAAATCCGGCGAACCTCCGACTTGGGTCAGCGACCCTTTAGCTTCATCTTCGACCTGGGTCAGCGAAGCTCCAGATCCAGCGCCATGCAAAAATCTCCCTCTCTCGACTTCTCTCTCTTTCTCTCTTCCTCTCTTCCGGCGAGCTTAATTCGGCTCTTGAGCTCTAGACACCACCGGCGGGCAGCGAGCATGGAATCGATCCAGCATCCCAGTAAACCGGATTAGTTACCGGTAACCGGCAATTCGGTATCCGGTATACCGAATGTACGTCGGTATCGGTAGTCGAAAGCAAATTTGCAGGTTTCGGTATAACGTTAACCGGTTAGTCGGTTACCGATTAATCTGTAACCGACCGATTACCAGCCCTAATTGCGGTTTACTGCAAGTCTACACACTGTTACTCAAAGCCCTTCTTTGTAAGTGCCACTGGAGGTTCACAACAAAAACATATTCTTGGTGGAGGGAACTTTTGAGCATCAAATTCCCTTACCCGAAGACGGATTGGATAGCTAGAGATACTCGTGGTGCTGTTAGGTGTAACCTAGGGTCTCATATTGCAAACTTAAAGGGTAGTATGTGGAAGCACGCGAAGCTACAGATAAATAGTTGTGAAAAGGTGTCTTTCTGCCATGAGTTCTGGGCAAATGAAGGGTTTAATCTTGCTGAAAGCTTTCCTAGAGTGGCAACAATAGTCGTGTCCTCACTTGGGAGGCTAAATGAACTTTTTAAGCGATCTGAGAGTGATAGGTGCAATGGGACATACCTCTTAAATATCAAGAGGTGGGCTGAGAGGGAAAAGGAGAGATTAATATATTGTCTTGAAAACCTATCACCAAATATGTGTTATGCAGATACAACCAAAGTAACATGGCAACCATCTGCTGTAGGAGGCTTTAACGTGCACTCGCAACAACAATGCTTTATGAAGGAACATTACACGGAGGATGAAGACTAACCGTTTACAACGATCGAGCAGCAGTAGATTCTGACCAATACTTGTGTATTTATGTGGATATTTCATAGGAATAAGATCTTGACTCGGGAAGTTCTGAAGAAAAGAGGATGGGCACTTTCCAGTAAATGCGAGTTGTGCATTGCGAGTGAAGAGTCGGCAAACCACTTGTTCCTTACCTGTAACTTTGTGAAACTAGTGTGGAACACTATACACTGCTATGTGTGTGTAGGCAATGTTCCATAGAACATTATATTTCAAATTTGTCCTCGCACCAAACCAAACAGGCCAGAACAGTGGTGCACAAGGGCTCTTTTACACGCTCTTTGCTGGTGCATCAAGAAAGAAAGAAATTCAAGGGTTTTTTGAAGGAAAAGCGACTACTGTTGAGATCATATCCTACAAAATTGGTAGCTTGATTTCAAGAAATCTTATTGTGGCGAATAAAGTCGATCACATGGTGACAAAGGAGTGGTTGGAAGTCCTCAAATTGAGATTATGTCCTGATGGCGATCGAGCTCAATTATGAAGCCTCTGAGCAATGGTTGTCCAAGTTTGGATATCTTTCTTCATAGTAGGAATACGAAGGCTATGTTGTTTGTTCGTGCATTATTGGTTGCATTAGGATTTTGGAAGAGTGCATGAACAGTTGACAAGCGTATTGGAGAGAGCTGGTTTTCTTCACCTCAGAGACCAATAGCCTAATTGGTGAATGATGAAGGTGATCTGTGATTTCTTGGGAATCTAGAATGATATCTAGAA